GTAAGTATTCCACTTCAAAAATAAAGAAAATGGGGTTCTTTGGGGGTGTTTTAAGCATAACTACTCTCATTAAAGTATCACAGCCAAAGCCTTCCTTCTTTTATTTTACTCACATGGCCTAAGTAAGGTAAGTTTGTCCCCCATCCCATCCATTTAGTCACTCATACTGGCAAAGCGAGTGTCTCACTTAGCCTTCTTTCTTCTTATACCTTTTTACGAATCCCCCAAAGGGAGACAATCTTAAGTATAATTAGAGTCATGCCTGGAACACTGCACTTTCTTTGTTCTAAATTTTACGAACCAAGTGTTAGGTGAAGTTATCTTGAGTAAAAAGTTAATAAACAGAAACCTCATTTAAACAGAGTTGGGAGACCAGAAGGGGGAGCTCTCATGCCTTGTGAAGATAACAGCCCAACAGGAAGAAGAAAGATTCCTCTTTCCTGACAACAAATCAGCCAATGAAAAGTGGACTCTGTGTTTACTATAGCCCTCTCAACTCCCTTTTTCCTCTCTGTAAAAGAGTTCTTCTTCTCTTACTGTACAGGGGGACTTCTTGTGGCTTACCAATTTGGCAGACGCCAAATTGCAATTCTCTGCTAATCCTAAAAAAAAAAAACCACATTTTTTGGCTAGAGAAATAACTGGCAGTCTATTTGTTTTAGGTCAATATTTGTTCTTTGAGATTCAAATAAAATTTAGTTTGAACAAAATGCAACATGTCTCCAAAATGTCTCCAATAATCCTGTGGACTGCTAGAACCTTAATGTCACAGCTGTCACTTAGAGCACCTCAATCTGTCTCCAGATTGGCTCTGTCCCAAAGCTGCTACTAATAGACTCCTCAGACCCCCCACACAGTGCTAGTGACTCTTTATTTACCTCCATTCTTTAGAGCAGTGGTTCTCACAGTGTGGTCCGGGGACCAGTGGCATCAACATTACCTGGGAATTTGTTAGAAATGCAAATTCTTGGGCCCGCATTGAGACTTATGAGTCAGAATCCTTGGGGGCAGAGCCCAGCAATCTGTGTTTTAACGAACCTTAATTGATTGTGATGCTCACTAAAATCTGACAGGCTGTGCTTTAGAGCAGAACTGCTAAAAATTTGGTCCATATATCTGCAGTATCAGATGAACTGGGGGCTTGTTAAATTTCAAAATCTCTGGCCACACTCTAAATTTACCAAATCAGAATCTCAGAATTCTGGTTTACAAGCTTTCCAGATGATGTTCATGCTTGCTAAAGTTTGAGAAGCACAAATTTAAAGCACTCGTGGGGCTCCTCATCTAGTCTCTTTTTAGCACAAGAACAGAGGGGCTGGAGACCTAGTAATACAGTTCTTTTACACTTATCCCCTTTTCTCTCCTTCCAAATGCATATAGGTGCTGCTAAAATTCTTGATGTGATGGTTCAAACACTACTAGGACTTGCTGCTAGCCTAGCCTATCCTGACAGATCATTTCTTCACAAAGAAATATTTCTCTCAAGAGGCCGATCACATCCCCAAGGATTCTATGGCGGCAAAGGAGGCTTTGCCTGCACAGAGCACAAAGAAAGAAAAAAACAAAAAATACCTCTGGGATAGGCACTAGAGAGATTGAGTTTGTCAAACTGCACACAGTTGCATTGATAAGTCTCAGCACTGACAACCAGAATGCCTTGTTACAAATTGAAGGATAGAAGAAATATTCAGAAAGGAATTACCATATGTGAATATGCTGGGTTTGGTTTGACTTTGTAAATTGTATTGTATTTTATTTGATAGGATGGCAAATTTTCAACAGAAAGAGAAAATATAAAAATGATAAGATGCAAAATAAGAATACACTTTGTCTCCAATTTTTCTCTCCATAAAAGCACAAAGTGGAAGCAGTGGATTCAAAGTTAACACAGGAGGCCTTGCACACAATGGGAGTACAGAATATTGATTTGCAATGCTGGGAGGGCTGCTGCTAGAGAAGGCATCAGATAACCAATGGAAAAGATGAAGCAAGAAGACAAACCACTCATTAAATAAAAGGCCATTCAAAGATTGGGATTGGGTCAGCATGGAGAATTTCAGTTCTCACAATCAGTTTAATGATAAGGTTATTGCAAGTCATTTCCTAGTACTTAATTTCTGTTACAATAACCTCATAGTCAGCTTCATAGATAGCTAATAGAAATATCCCATCATTTAGCTATTATAAAGGTTCTAAGAGAACTTGGAGAAAATCTGCCAAATCAAACAATAATAGCCAATCACCTGGAGAACATGTACATTTGGGCACCGGTTTGACTATTACACTGTAGGTCTTAGTTTTAACTGTTTCTGAGTTCCTCCAGCAGAATTCTGTGCACACATTAGGGGTATAATAAATAACCAAAAAGTAAGCTAGTATTATCTGATGTTTATTGAAGTGTTTAAATATATATATCTATATATTCAATGAAAAGAAGTAGAAGTTTTCTAAATTTACTCCTGTCAGTACTTTATCAAGCTATTTCCTTGATTCCTTGCCCCATTCTTTTCCACATTGCATAATGTTTCTCTAACATTGTTCAGGGCCTATTTCTTTATGCATGAAAGAAATTCTTTATTACATTTAATGTGATTTAGGAAAGCAACAGTGTTTCTTGTAGCACATGATAGTAGAGTTTGTGGCCTAAGTATATGCAATCTGTTTTTATTAGCACAGTAATTTGATTATTTGGGGTATAGGAATGACTAAAATTTTCATAATTCAAAGAAATAAGGCAAAGATGGCCAATTAGGATACACAAATTATTTTTCTAGAACTCAAAAGAGACAGGAATTATTAAAAGCAACCATAACAGCGAAATCAACTGCTAATGACCAGATGATGGAATGACAGACCATAAATATCTGCTAGGTATACTACAGCCTACAAAATATGTGCGCTCTTTTTCTTTCTTTTTGATAGTTTGTACAGGAAGACCTTTACAAACCTTTCTTTTAAAATATACATCATTAATTCAGTTTCCCCTGAACCTCAGATTCAGCTCGTGAGAGCAGCAACTTCATATGCCATTGATAGAGAACTGAAAAGGAGAACACAGAAAAAGGGGAAAAGTCACAGAAATATCTTACAATTTGTCAAAAAATGACGATGGGTACCCACTTTTTAATCCATCTCCCCTAAAAAATATTGCTTAAGGGCCTAGGATTAACATTCATTATTATACACTGGGCTTTATAACGTAACACTTAGAAAGCTCTTACTTAGAGATAGTGGGACATTTATTGTGACTTGTCAAAGCTCAGAACTCTTCAGGAAATGATTTCCACTTACAGATACATTTCATGTTGAAGAAAAACATCCTCCAAAGAAAGTTTAAAAGAGAACCCAGATGAATATTTTTTTTAGATGGGGCACAAAAAAGTTCTGATTTCAACATGTTCCACATCTCCCCAGAGCTAGAAAGCTAAAGACAGTTCTACAATATCATATTTCAAAAACAGTACAGAGCTTAGCTGCTAAAGCAATAAAGCGGTTTTTGTCTCAGAAGCATACAGCATCATGAATAACATTGTCATCCAGAAACAATGACTGGTAGGCACCATTCTGTGTTGTATCTAAGCAGGCCGGCTTGATAGTGAGTTGCGAATGTCATCCTGCCCATTCCACTGAAGCTGACGTTTTGTACAGACTAGTAGAAATGTGCGATATGAGATCAATAAAGAAGTAATTAAAAGTAAAAGACTCTTAATGATTGTAAATGAAGCTGAGAACACAAACTCGGATCTCAGTAACCTGTAGTTATGACTCTAGGGCCGTGGTCTGTTAACATCTGCTTCTTGGGTAGGAATGTTTTTCTTTCAAAATAGCAGTGCTACATGAATCAACAGCTTCTAAAGGAACTATTTCATGCTATACAACCTTAGGTCTCAGACTTGAAAAATCTCATTGATCTTTGGTGAAATCTCAGTTATATAAGTAGGAAGTTATTTTTAAAGTCATAGCAGATGCTACAGTTCCTCCTCATTGCTCCCACATGGATGTACACTGTTTATTCAAAATTGAGCCAAAAGCCCTGAAATAATAAAGTTAAGTAAGACTCCCTGAAAAACCTAGGCAACAAATCTGTATGCAATGGATCTTTAAATATTCCTTTTAGTTTTATTATTTGGCTGCTGGCTTTTGAGCTGCCCACACTGACACACTCGCACACACACACACACGCACCCTTCAGAGATTTGCATCAGGAGGAACACGGTTTTCATTCTGAAATTGATAGCAAGATTTTTCTTAATTTACTTCATTTTTTTTACAGTCTCCTTGGTCAACCTAAAACATTAACAGATAAACTACAACCCTAACTCATCATTTTTCCATAAGAAATGTGAAGTAGGGCTTCCCTGGTGGCGCAGTGGTTGAGAGCCCGCCTGCCGATGCAGGGGACACGGGTTCGTGCCCCGGTCCAGGAAGATCCCACATGCCGCGGAGCGGCTGGTCCTGTGAGCCATGGCCTCTAAGCCTGCACGTCCGGAGCCTGTGCTCCACAACGGGAGAGGCCACAACAGTGAGAGGCCCACGTACCGCAAAAAAAAAAAAAAAAAAATGTGAAGTAGTCCATGCTGTTAGAAATAATCTTTTGTCCCCAAAAATGGTAATTAATTTAGTCAAATCAGAGCTCAAATTAAAAGGAATTTTTATTGCCATACTGTAGCCATGGCCTGAAGCGTTCTTTCCACTATATATATTTTTCTGTAATTTAGGGCTAAAATTTAATCACTAGTGAAAGAAGCTAAAGAAAATTTCAATTATCAGGTCTCATTGAGAAACCAAGTCTCTGACTTTATTTGGGGTATGTCAGAGATGAAACGTCAAAACCACATAGACTTATGTTTCTCCAAAGAATGTATTTATTCACTGTTGTATCCCTAATACCTAGAATAGTACCTAGGAAGTGTGAATAAATGAATGAATGAGGTAGTGTATCTCAGTATCAAAAGAATCTCAGTTTTTAAAGCCATAACCATCCCTCTTTTATTTCCTAGGTCAACTAGTGAGCATCCTTGCTTGGTAAGTAAAGTCATCATTATTATTCCCCACTATTAAGTTTTACATTATGTCACCTATTACTGACCTAGACATATATTTTATGATTAATAAACCCTATCCAATATTATTACTTACACCTGTTTCCATGTAGAATTACCAACACTATTATTTACCATATTTTCATGTAGAACTACCACTGCATCTTTAAATAAGATTGAATAACTCCTTAAAATTCTCTAACACCTATATAATGCTTAGAATAAACTTCAATCTCCTTGCCAAGGCCTACAAAGCCCTATATGATTAAGTATTTCTTTATATTTCCAACCTTATCTCCTATCGTTCCTCCTTGGCCTCTATACTGCATATGGCGGTATAAAGGCCAAGTAGCTTGTATCAGACAAGCAAAGTAGCTTGTAACAGACTAGCCCTCCTGTTTGTAACAACTAAAAACCTTGGGGAAAAGAACTACTCTTTGAAGGCATAGAGAAGTGACAAAATCAGCATAAACTAAAGGAGATCCAATCTTTGAAAGAAGGAAACCACATTAGTGGAGACCCACATTTATATGTTTTTCCACTAATGGCACTTCCCAGTCTACAACCTAGGGTGAATAGAACTCAAGTAAAACATTATTAGCTTGAGGAGTCAAAGGAGAAAATTGGAGGCTACCTAGAAACTGAGAAGGGGTAATTCTGGGAAGGAAAGAGAAGAGAAAACCCTCAAATCCACAGATAACCCCCACTCAAATCCGTAACTGACTCCTAAACTGCAGATGTGCAGGGTATTGGGGGAAAGCAACAGTTAGGAGAGAATTCAGTGAATGAACACTACAGGGCAGTCATATTTTGGAATTAGAGTTCTGCTGAGTTAGAGTGGCTTAATGAATACATCAAGATTTCCATTAAAGCTCCAGAAGGACCCCGTGTTAGGATTAAAAACTACAAACCAGGACTAAGTGGTCTACCAATAATTTAACTGCCTGATAGAAAAAAAATTACACCCTTCAGAGGAAGATAATTGAATCTAGAGTCTCTATAGTGTATCAATACAATATCCAGTATGCAATCAATATGAACAGACATATGAAAATACTTAAAATTATGATCATAGTCAAGAGGAAAAAGGAAACAGTTGCTAGACAAGACAAATCAGATGTTAGAATTGATAGACTTAAACTTCAGAATAATAATAATAAATATATTAGAGAATCTATAATGAAAATTGGATACAATGGGTAAAGAGATAGGGAATTTCAGAACAGATGTGGAAACTAAATAAATAATAAAATTTTGAAATGGGAAAAAACAATTCAGTGGATGAAATTCATAGTAGATTGGATATAACTGAAGAGAGTAATTAGTTAACTTGAAGACAGTCAAAATAAGTCATCCAAACTGAAGCATGGAGGGAAGCATGATTGAAAAAATAATGAACAAAACCTCTGTGAACTTGGGACACATCGTGACTGGAGTCCTACAGAGAGAAATGTGAGGGAAAACAGAGCAACCAAATAGAAAGATAGATAGATAGATAGGTTTCAATTCAGTTTTAAACTCAGTTCAATCTGAAAATCTGGTTTCTATAGGTAGCAGTTCTCAATCTTTCCTGGAAAAAATGCTCCTTTCCACAAACATTCTCCCTTTTCCCAAGGTGATGACTAGTTGTATGCTGGAAGCAATTGGCTGACCTTGTGCAGAGAAGGATCAGGGTCCTTGGGCACATGGTCGTCTGATATCTGGGATGATGTCCCTGTCCACCTGAATGCAGCTGCCCCTTCTGACACTCACAACTAAAGCTTGTGTTTAGTGGAATTAAGGCCTGCTGTGAGCAGGAGAGAGGCTGACTGAGCCTCCCCTAAGCTCCCATTCCTACTATCTCTCAAGTATCTGCCACATTCTTCTTCCAGCCTTTTGGTCCATTGGTTCAACCCTGGCTTCTACTGCTATGATAGACTTGCCGACTCAATTCTGCTTTAATGCCACATTGGAATCCTGAGCTTCACAGCCTCCTTCCTGACCACTGAACAGTCTCACTGATATAACCTAGCCTCCAAGATGGTACAGGTACAGCCAGAGAGGTGACCACTTTTCAAAGTCCCAAATGGGAAGCAAGATGACACTTTCTCCCTGTCCCCCAACCCTCCCTATCCTCTCCACTCCCAAATCTACTGATACTCTCTGACTTACCTTACACCCTCTGGACTTTAACTTGGAGAGAGGAAATCCTTCTTGCTTTCTTGGCAACCTCTAACAAAATTCCCAGGCCAGGAAAAGGTATTATTTCTTCCTGTGGTTTATATCCTTCTCTCTGTGTAAGCACCATCTCTATTCTACAGAAGAATGCTATAAGCAGAGTCCTACAACCTTAATACCTGAGCTATTAAGAGCAGGAGGGGATAAAGAAAATTGGGAAATACTGTCTTAAGACAATTGCCTGGCTATTGTTGTTTTATAACCTTATCTGTCAAAGCAGAAGCTATTTATTCTCTGTCTTTGCATTCCTTTTCCAGCAAACTCTGATCTTCTCCCTAGACATCTGGACTGCTGAAGCTGAATAGGACAAAGAGAAAGAGAGAGACAGAGACAGAGAGAAACAGAGAGAAGTACAGTGACACTTTTCAAAATATTACTATTACTCCATAATGTATTTTATTTATGACTATGCTATATGGACAGAGCTTTAAGGTAGAAATACATTTCAGGATAACTTTACTAGTCATATGAGTCTTGAGGACCCTTGCATTTCAGATAGAATTCCTTAGCATGAGATTCTCAGATTAGTGAAGGGTGTAGCTCTGGTCACAAGCCTCACGAAAATGCTTTATGGAAGTCAAACTCCTATTTTTCCCAACTCTCTGAGCCTGAGTCACCATATCAAATTTAAGCTTCTCAGGATGAAAGTAAGAATAATTTGGAGAAAATACTATCTAAGCCCAGAAATTTCTTGGTAGATTCTTTTCTCTATCATTAACTATTGCCTCTTCTGGATCATTATAAACTGCATCAGATTCCATTCATATCAAGCTTTCAATTATGGGTCAAATTATTATGATTGTTTTTAATCCCCAAGTAGGTGCTTATTATTTAAGGAATTCTCACTCTTTTTTTTAATTAATTAATTTTATTTTTGGCTGCATTGGGTCTTCATTGCTGTGCGTGGGCTTTTCTCTGGTTGCAGCGAGCAGGGCTACTCTTCGTTGCAGAGCGCGGGCTTCTCATTGCAGTGGCTTCTCTTGTTGTGGAGCACAGGCTCTACGCGTGCGGGCTTCAGTAGTTGTGGCGCATGGGCTAAGTAGTTGTGGTGCACTGGCTTAGTTGCTCCAAGGCATGTGGGATCCTCCCGGACCACGGCTCAAACCCGTGTCCCCTGCATTGGCAGGTGGATTCTTAACCACTGTGCCACCAGGGAAGCCCTCGCTCTTCTTTTAAAAACGTGTTCTCAATTGAATCTAGTGATACATTTCCAAGTTTGTAGTAATTAGCAAAAAAGGTTTAGCATAATGATTGATGGCATACTCATCTAGAGACAGGTGTTCATGGGATTTAATTCAAACAGGAAAGTTTTTAGACTTCCACATTTTGATTATCTGTCTCTCTCACACACACACACACAAACACACACACACACACACACACACACAGTAAATCCCCTCAGGAGCAGTGAATTTCAGATGTGTTGTCTGCTGGTATATTAATGACACTGGTGGGCATCAATGAGTCACATAAGGGCTGTAACAGATTCCTGTCTTTCCTTAAATGTCTTATTCTAATTTACATCAATATAGCAAGCTAGAAAACAACTCATGCATATAGACCTTAGTCTGATGTAGCAGCTGAGTTTTATGTATCTAACTAAAGTCCTAAATATTTAATATACAGGGTTCTTTCAAATTTCAGAAGAAATATGAAGGCAGTGCTCCTGAAATTCCACAAGCTAGTCTTTCATTTTAAATCCAAACGTGAAGGGTTATGGTTCAAATGACTTCAAGTTAGCATTAGATGGTTCAGAAGAAATGAAACCATTCCAAAGAAAATCACACTTTTTTCTGGAAAGAGGAGATTTTTAAATGTGTGTTTTATTTTCTACACAGTAGCCATAATATTTCCTGTGATCAGAAGAGCATGATATAAAGCTAAATAGCACCATGAAAAACAGTCTTTCCTGAGGTGTAAAGTCTTTCCAGTCTTTTACTGGACAAATTAGAACTATTAGAAAATATCAGAAATCTTTTTCTATAATAAAAATATTAACACTATATTATTGTGAAAAAACAGCACAGCTAGGGCTTCCCTGGGGGCACAGTGGTTGAGAGTCCACCTGCCGATGCAGGGGACACAGGTTCGTGCCCCAGTCTGGGAAGATCCCACATGCCGCGGAGCGGCTGGGCCCGTGAGCCATGGCCGCTGACCCTGCGCGTCCGGAGCCTGTGCTCCACAATGGGAGAGACCACAACAGTGAGAGGCCCACGTACTGCAAAAAAAAAAAAAAAAAAAACAGCACAGCTTCTCTCTTCCTTAAGCTTTCACATCTATCACAATATGTAGTCTACCTCCATATGTTTGCTTTTATAATAACAGAGTATAAAAAAATATTCACTGAACAAGTGCAGTAGGTTTAGCTGTAAAAATTGCCTAGGTCAAAAAAAAAAAGAAAGCAGGACAAGTTTCAACCTCACCAAAATACCTATATATATATTACTTCTTTGGTCTCTTAACTCTGCCTACCTAGAAAACCAAATGTCCCAAAGTTTACATGAGAAAAGTATTTTGAAACTGTTTAGAATTATTTAATGAAAAAATTCATGTCTCAAGGTAGCAGGGACTGATTAGACATAAAAAGTGGCAGAAGATAGCCAGCTTCCTTCTTCTCAGAAGATTATCAGAGTACAGAGCCTGAGGGATCCACTAAAGCATGCAAAAATGAGGATTTATTTAGGTAACATCAAGCCTATCTATTCAGCTAATATCAGGGTATTCAGGCAGGAGAAGCAGTAACATTCTACTGTTTAGAAAAAGGAA